CGATGTAGTGGCCGACGTGGTGGGGGAAGAGGCGGTCAACGTCGCGGTGGGCAATATCGAAGCCGAGGCTCTTGAGTTCCTCGTGCAGGCCGCGGTAGGTGTGGTCGTGGATGTCGTCGAGGGTCAGCCTTGCGTCTTCGCGGCACAGGGCAACGCTGGCGCGCTGGACCTTGAGCACGGCCTCGTAGAGGTCCCTCTGCGGCGGGGTGAACTTGCCGTCGAGGGGCCAGGTACGGGTAATGTCTGTGATGTAGGTGCCGTACTCGCCGCCAGCGTCGACCATGACCATGTCGCCGGGGCGCAGGACATCGTTGTTGAGGACGTAGTGGATGCACGAACCGTTGCGGCCGCCGCCGACGACGGGGATGTAGGCAGGGCCGTCGCAGCCGTCGACGGCGAAGCGGTAGTCGAGGAAGTTGTGCAGGTCCTTCTCGCGCGTCCAGGCGCGGCGCATGGCGTCCGTGATGACGCGGCCCGAGATCTGGCCGGCCTTGCGCATGTTGGCGACCTCGGCCGGCGACTTGATGGCGCGCAGCGTGTTGAGAATGGGGTACAGGGGCGAGCGGGTGGAGGGCCACCACGCCTTGTCACCCTTGACGAGGGACCAGAGCTTGCTCTCGGCGTGGCCCTGGCGCGGCCTCTCGAGGTCGGTGTAGACGCGCGAGGCTGACTTGACAATGTCGGGCAGGAGCCTGTCGATCCTGTTGATATCGCCGGCATCGTCAGCGTTGAATATGTCGGCGGCCGCCTGGATGCCGTTGCGCGGGCCGGACCACTGCTCGGCAGTAGCATCCTTGGGCTGGCAGAAGAGATGGAAGGTAAAGTCGCCCCACTGGGGGCCGGTGTTGCGAATGACAGCGAGTGAGTCGCCCTCGGTCCAGCCGGTGAGGTAGAGGAAGTTGGACTCTTGGCGATAGGGGTGAAAGACTGCGCCTGACCGGTACTTGAGCTCGGCGGCGGGAAGGATGGCGAGGGCGCCCTCGGGGAGACGATGGGCGAGGTTGGCGCGGCGATCATAGTACTCTTGCGCTGTGATGCCGGGGGTGACTGTGGCTGTTAGCGAGGGGTTCTTGGTCATCAAAAGACGATGTAGGGAGGCATGACGAGATGTCACTGACTTTCACCGGCCTTCAAGATGTGGGGATGTGTTTCGTGAACTGGTTGACCAAACTGGAGATCAGCTGCCGAAACGGAGGCAAATGTTCGGAGAGCATGACGTCGACTCGACGGTGTCGGTAATGATGCTCGTATTGAACATGATGGTAGTGAGAAGCGTAGGTTGCGCTGTGTGAGGCGGAACAAGGACATCGCGGTGGTGGATGTAGAGGGAAGGCGGAAAAGAAGGTGAGACCATACGCAGGGATCAAAAATTGATGATGGATCTCATGTAAAGGGGACAAGGAGGGGGAAAATTTGTTTATGATCTCGAGGCCGATGATTCCTATACCAGGGAGACAATAGATTGATACTGTCTGATTGGCCCTGCAGGTTTTGACCGTTGTTCCCTTGTTCGTCTGGCTTGCTATCCTTCACATGGTTTGAAGCTCACGATGGCTTCACTCTAGGCGGACAGACAGGCTGAGCGAGGCGAGCTTCCCTCAGTTTGGTGGGTGAGTACACTGAGGCTAACACTTGGAGCTCCTCCCCTGGCAACGCTACAGGGAGGCTGGCGGCGGCCCGTAGAATTTCCGCTCGGCGAGAAGAGCCTGGCAGACATTCCGTTCAGTGACATCAGCAAGCCAGAAACGCGCTGTAGCTGGGCGCGCCGGCACGGAACGAGTGGGGTGCAATCCCCCCAGCCACACGGTTTACTGAGTTCAGGGCACTGAAGCGCGGCAATCGGGCAACGGTTTAGCGAGCCTTGCAGCGGGGTTCCCGACCCGAAATGGACGACAGCTGGCGGATGAGGCCGGTTGCCAGAGCGGACTGTGGCTCGTGCGTGTTGTCGGCGGCGCCCAACCTGGATTAGCGCTGTTGTTGCCCCCCGGCCGCGCTGTGCCCACATTGCCCGTCGTCTGCCCAGTCATGACCCTGCACGGCCACCAGCAGGTGGGGAACCCTCCCTCGTCCTCTCTTCCTGCCCGGCCACACCAAAACCAGCACGCCTTCTGCTGATGGTCCCAAAGCTCTTCCCTACGACTCCGACTTCCGACTCAAGGTGCACTGCACACTGCCTCCCACCCTCCCACTGCTAACCACAACACCCCATAGACAGTCGACGAGAGCTCCCTCGTCGTTTGTTGCATCCAGATTCCGTTTCCCTCTCCTCGTCGACGTTGTCTTCTGCTGCTTTGGCCTCTCTCTTTTTTCAATGTCTTCTTGACGCATTTCTCTTGCTGCACCTGTGAGTACGCGGTCGAGACGTGTCGGTCCTGCACGTCGCGTGCCCACTCCACCCACCACCACCACCACCACCAAAGACCCTCGTCCACAGAAGCATCAATCCTACTCCTCCGACACCACCGCCTCCGCCTCCCACCTCACCCGACGCTTCGTCACGCCTCGCGACCGTTGAATCGAGCGACTCTTTTTGCTCTCGAGATTCGTACATTCGAAGAGATCGACCTCTCCACTTTCGACCCGCAAACAGCATATTGATTGGACATTTTTTATGGCAACCTTATCTCTATCCCCGACACCCCGTCACCCTGTCTGCCATGTCGACTGCAAGACGGACGCCCCTGTCCAGCAAACCCAATGTCGCCAACTCACCTCTGAGGGCCCCAGGTGCCGCCACCCTCGGCCAGACCAAGCCCAAGCGTTCCTATGCCAACCTGCAGCGGGAGGAGGCCTATGGCCAGCCTCCGCCGCTGAAGAAGCAGATGCTTGAGAATGGCCTCCAGCGCCAGCTTCGCTCACCGTCGAAGGGTCACAGGAGCGCTTTGCCCCAACGTTCTGTCCGCCTGTCCACCAAGGAGAGGACCGCTCAGCAACAGGAGCAGACCCAGCAGGATAACAGTGTCGAAAAGATCCGACAGTGGCAGAAGGAGTACCAGGCGAGGTTCCCCAAGATGGTGTTCTACTTCGAGAGCATCTCCGAGGATCTCCGCTACAAGCTGTCCAAGCAGGCTGTCAGCCTGGGAGCTGTGAGAACCACCCCATTTGGTCAACATGTTTTCCCTTCGTATGCTGACCGTGTTGCTTTTCATCTAGCGTGAGGAACGATTCTTCTCTAACAACATCACCCACGTCGTGACCACCCGCCCCATTCCCACCGAGGACGAGGTTCATGCCTCGCACCACGAGCAGCATGCTCATGAGGAGCAGCCACAGACGATCAACCCTTCCCTGCTCAATCGATCTACCGACACCCGGCGGCGTCTATTCGATACCGGCACCAAGAGGACACACGCTCAACTGCAGGATGACAGCCTCCGCCGGCCCAAGCCCATGCGAAACAATGACATTCTGCACAAGGCCCGCGATATGGGCAAGAAGATCTGGCCCTTGGAGAAATTTCAGAGGATGCTCGAGATCCTTCTGCAGCCTGACCCTCATGCTGCCGTGGCCATCGCGCACGCCGGCAAAGACGATGCTGGTCGGCACGGCTTAGGGAGCAAGAAGGCGGCCGAAGAGCCCAACCTGTCCCAGCTCCTGCAGCGGGAGCGACTCAACGGACCTTCTGACCGAGACCCAACCGTCGCCAGCCGTGAGCTAATCCAGTTCAGAGGACCTTACATTTATGTTTATGACATGGACGAGAAGCAAAAACCCATCATGGTGCGCGAGTATCCGAGGGCCAGCAAGTATGAGGGAGAGTGGCCGCAGTTCCGAACCGTCACCGACGGACGATGCCCCTTCGTGGAGGAAGTCGACCCCGTCGACCGTGCAGCAAGAAGGTCTCGGGCCGAAGAGAAGGAGAGGGCCGCCAGGCGCGCTATCGAAGCTCGCCCCAGCCTACAGCCTCCTGAGGCGCAGGCACCGAAAGCCGTCATTGGCAAGCGAACTCTGGCTGAGATGCAGAATGGTCAGGAGCAGGTTCGCGCCACCTCTGTGAACCCCGCCGACGTCTTCAAGGCGCCCAAGACGATCGAGTCCAAGCCGTCCGACTTTGGTTTTGTCAGCCGAGCGCCTGCCGGCCGCTTCCTTGCCGGGGAGCCTGTCGCGTCAGGTGTCCAGCCGTCCAATGTCACTTCTGCCATTCGTTCTCAGATGATTTCATCAGCCACCGGTACCGGCGCCGCAAAGGCGGGCACGAGCAAGGGAGATTCATGGACTTCAGCGCAAGGTTCTCCAGAGAGGCACATCCTATTCGCAAGACCCCAGCTCTCGGCGACCCGACCTCAGTGTCGATGTCGCATC